ACAGTTTCAGGATTTGTCTCCTCAATCTTATTCTTACCCCCTCATGCTTTTAAAAACATCAAGTTATGTTTAAATTATAAAATGCCTCGAAATTACAAATGTTTCCTAATGATTTCCAGAAAGCTAAATAAGCAATATTTAAATCCAGGAAACTTCTGAAATAAGCCCCATCTTTCTTACAACTCAAAACATGTCATGCAACACTCAGGCACACACCTATGTCTCCTAACTTTTGGAAAAAGGCAACTACGAAACTGCACATTTTAATCATAATTATCATAACCAATGTTATATAGAAGGCAAAGCTGCTGGCCAAGAGGGGTGAACACCATCTGTATGATGATATTCCAATACGAGGGAAAGTACTGAGGCAAAAGTGGTGCAGCAAAGGCTTTCCAGAAGATCAACAATACTGGTTTCCTTCATGTCTTAAGTCTACGAAAATAATTGTAAAGGGCCTTTAAAATACTGCCCACTGTCTATTTGAAAACTGCATTCTATGCTGAGTCTGAAAAAAAAAATCTGAATTTTCAAGTAACTTCATTTCATACAAGAGTTTATAAAATGCCCCTAGGACAAAAGCAAGACCCCCTTTTTTATATGCTCACACATTGTCCAGCACAAGCTCCACTTTCATACAGTAGGTGCCCAATACTTGCTGGCTGGTTTCAGTTGCTTCTTACAGCACATTCTTACAAAACCAACGAAACCAGATTAAAAAGGAAACCACCATCCCTTGAGGGCTCCCCTTGGCAAAACTTTAAGGTAACAAGTGAAAATGATACAGTTGATTTTCATTACTGCCCTGATCTTGCAACAATAGGAAGGGCAGGAAACATTTTTATTAGTAAACTAAGACTTAGACAAAGACCAAAACCAAATGTAAACAACAATTATTTTCTACGTCTTTTCCTATTGAAAGACTAAGGTAAATTTGGATCAAGGCACATAGTTTGAAAACAAAAAGGCCTTTGTTATACTTTAAAATCTTTTGTTCTGTAAGAAATTTTAATTTTTTATAAAAATCGCCAAATGCTTTAAAACAACTACTGTATCGTATAAAGATTTCTTCTGCTCAGACTCTGGATCTATTTAAGAAATAAAATAAGCAACAAAGAAAAAACAAGGCTACACTAAAATGAACAGTTCATCCTCAGTCTTCACTACCACTTGTGGTCAATATGGCATATCAAAAAAGAGAGTGGAAATTCTTTACCATCTTAAAATTACACATTATTTCTTTGTTAGAAAACATACATAATAAAATTTCAACTACAAAGAGCCGTCCAGACTCAGCTCCTAAACTCTCTCTTGAAAAACTCAATATCATTTCATATCCAGTTGAAGATTTTATTGTCAAAAATCTGACTTTCACTAGCATTTGTGGTTTTTAATCTAACCCTGCAATCCTTAACTGGAGCTATGTATAACCAAGGTTCTTTTTTCCCCCTGCTTGTCCATTTCTCCTATGGCATTGAATTCTTGCTCTACAGTCTCAATTGCCAGTCTGCTGTATTGCTGTAATTCATACATTTAAAACACAAGGTTGGGGTGGGGGAGAGAAAAGAGATATTTTAATACAATTTTTATGTCGAAGGTAGCACAATGATTTCTTTTCAACCTTAGCACATTTCTTAAAAAAAAAACAAACAGGTTGAAATATAATTCACATACCATAAATGTCATCGATTTAAAGTGTACCATTTTGTGGTTTTTAGCATATTCAAACAGTATACTCAGAGTTGTGCAACCATCAGCACAAACTAATTTTAAGACATTTTCATCACCCCAAAAAGAAGCCCTGCACCTATTAGCAGTCACTCCCTACTCCATCCTCCCCCAGCCCCTTGGCAACCACTAACCTACCTTCTGTCTCTATGGACTTGCTGGACATTTCATAAAAATGGAATCCTACAATATGTGGTCTCTTGTGACTGACTTCTTTCACTTTCTGTAATGTTTTCAAGGATGATCTATCCAACCTTAGCTATATCTTAGACTTGGACTTTTCTACTCCTCTTGACAAATCAGACATACTGACCTTTTAAACTCCAAATCCTGACACCCCACCCCTCCACAAAATACCATCTACTTGCCATTTCCCTCTAGACAGTCTAAACTATAATTTGCTATTTAGGTTCTTTCAAAAGTTCTTATTCTGGGTTCTCCTTCTGGTAATAAAACACTAACTTCCTTAAAAAACAGCATTGCACATACCTACATTTCTCTGACAATAGGATGTTAACTGTGCCTGGGGCAGAAAGATGATTGAATCCTTTTAAGGAGATAGCTACAATAAGTTTAAAGTGCACGTTGATTTAAAAAAAGAAGAAAACAGCCATCAGATTATGTGACGATCACTAGCAACTTCCAAACCTCCCTTATTTAAGATGCTCTGTTCACATTATAGTTGATACCAAACAAACATGTCCATATGACTGTATCTGCTTCCAAAACTTCAACATTTCCTAAATTAAAGATAAAACACTCTCCCTACTGCCATCACACTCAAAAGAAGAAACACTAATCCCTACATGTGCTAACAAAATACCTGCAACTGGACCAACAACACTCCAATCTTTATTACTATACTTGACAATGGCTGAAAGATAGGACTGAGTAGCTCATTTCTCTCAGAGCTAAGGGGTCTAGTACCTTTAGGACTAAAAACTGAAAACGAGGTCATACATGTATCATTTCATCCTCAAAATGTCAGAGGCGGAGGGAGGGGCAGGTACGGCGTCCAGGCTTCAGCAAACCATAATCCGGATCTGGGGTGCCTCCTGGGCATCCATCAGGTTTCAAGGAATTAACCATTTTAAAGGGTTCCCTTAAAGTTCTGGCGTCACGGATTAAAAACATACATTAAAATATCTCCTCCCCTCCGGTCTGTGTTCTCAAGAAAAGAGCTTCCTTTCACAAAGAGCATTTTCCATAAAGAACGCCCCAAACAACAAGACATCCTATTTTAAAATGCCCGACTCCTGCTTGGGGGAAGCAAGGCCATCACTGCTATTTTGAATCTCAGAGCTCATTACCATTAAATAATAAAACTAGAGAAATGAATATAGTTCAATTACGAGCCACAATAAAATGGATTACTTCTCTGGTTTCTTAACTGTATTTAGATTTCAAAGACTAGAAACCCTCCTTTGTCCCCCAAACACCACCTAAACGCCTTAGTAGAAGGGAGCCGGAAGCCTCTCACCCAATCAAGTGTGCTGAAAGTTTAGAAAACAAAGAGCAGGAGAGCCCAGATTTGTGGAAGGTCCGGCCCCAGCCTGCGTCTGCCTCTGAGCAGTAAACACGCTAATTCTGTAAGATCCGCTCTATTCCACCTCGCTCTCGCTTCTTTCAAGACGTTGAGGGGATGTGTTTCTAGAAACAGCCTTTCTGAATTGCCCCTGTGATGGGGCCAGGCAGCCCCCGCTGCCTATTTCTCCCCCTCACTCCCGAAGGCTCAGTCGTGATTTTCAAAGTTAACTGGCACCACCTGCATACCCTCGGCAACCATTACTCACTAACACGCCCTCACCGTCCCCAGCCCCAGATCTGAGACTACATTTAAACTTTTAATCGTGTTCAAATTACCCTGCCATCTCGCATGCACCAGTAAGCCACACTTTAATTTTCTGGGAGGAATAAAACCTCCTCCTGCTGCTGCCTCCACACATCGTGGGGAGTTCTCACTCCCTACGTCCTCGCTCTTCTCTACCTACCCCTGCACACCCCTAACCGACAGCACCAAAACAAAAGCTATCAGATTGCAGTGTGGGGCGAGAGTGGGGCGACACTGCTTATTAACCGTGTACAAAGGAAGTGCGGGGCGGCAGGCGGGCAGGGCGACACAACTCGCCACAACACCACCAAGGCCACGGCTCCCCGCTCGCAAAACAGAACACCGCCCTCCGCCACCCGCCGCCGCAGCTCCCCGCTCCCTCCACGGCTGCGCGAGGCACCTCTCGCCGGGGCCGGGCGTCTGGGTGTCCCCGTGCGGCCGTGTGGCAGCAGCTACCCGCCGCGCTGCTAGCACGTGTGTGGAACTGCACGTCGGCTCCGACCACACACCCACTAACGCACACTCCGAGTCTACGCCGACATCCTCCATCCCCTCCAGGAGGAGAGGCGTCCACAGGCGGGGCAGAAACCTGGAGACGGTCCGAAAACCTTCGGACCTGGGGGCCAAGTCGCGCTCCCAGTAAGAAGCAGGCTGACCAAGGCCTTCGGCCTCACACTTCCCGAGAGCAGTCCCGGGAACGCTCCCCCCGGCCCCGAGCCGCACAAAGCAGCCCCCTGACGCCCGGGCAGACAACCCGCCGCGGGGCTGGCCAAAGTGACGCGAAAGGCCAGGAGCCCAAGAAGCCCGAGAGGCAAAGCACGTTGGGCCCCGCGAGACAGCACCGGGATGTTTGGAAACGTGTCCTGGGGCTACGGGGCCTCTCTGCTGGGCACCTCCCCCTGGAGAGCAGTCCGCACCCCGCGGCCCGGCGGCCCCCCACTCCCCACCGCCGGGTCTGCCCGGGCAGCGAGGGCGCGGCGCGGCGCAGGGTGCTGTCACCGCCGTCTGCGCGCCGCGCCGGGGTCGGCGACGCGTGCGGAGCAGCCCGCGCGCCCGGGGGGTGAGGGTGGCGAGGCCTGCCCCGACCCAACTTCCCCACGGAGTCCTCGCGCCCGGCTGGGCCCCGGGGCCGCTCGAGAGGAAGCGCTGCCCACCCACTAAGCCACGGGACAGGGCCACCGGGACCACGAAAGAGAAAGCCCCTGCGGCCCTTCCCGCGCGGGGATGCGCCGGGCCGGGGCCTCCGGGGCTCCAGACCAACCAACTCGGCCCGGTCCGCTACAGCCTTCCGGCAGAGCCTCCCGCGCCGCGCCCCGCCCCGCCGCTCCCCAGCCCGGGGGCCCGACAGCTGCGACAGTGGCAACTCGGGTTTCGCAAACAGGGCGCAGCCCCTCGGAGGAAAAGTTCCCGCAGTGGCCGCGGGCGGCGAGCACATACTCACTTTCTCCACTCGTCGGCCAGAGCGAGAGCGCGGCGGAGAAAAACAGGAGCCCCCACAGCGAGGTCGGGGACCCTCCTCCGGAGCCAGACTTCATTCCTTTTATTTGGGACGAAATTCCCCTTTCTCAAAAAAGAAAAAAAAAAAAAAGAGAGGAAAGGAAAGGAAAAAAGTCTCAAACTCAGTCCTCGCTCCCCCTCCAACAACAGGGCGAAGGAAACAATACTCCGAAGGCGGCGCCGGCCGGGGGCCCGCCGGGCTACGCGGACGGGGCGGGCGGCGGCGCGGGGCGGCCCCTCAGCGCCGGCAGCCGCGGCCCAGGGCTCGAAGGAGTCGGGAACCCGAGGCGCGCCGGGGCGGGCTGTCGGCGTCGTCGGCCTCCATTTTCAAAACCCAGAGAGGCAGGAAGGGGGGAAAACTGCGAAGACAGGGGGGGAACCCCCAATTCGTCTCGGCGAGGAAAAACAAACCCGGCCCCTGACAGTGAGAAAGGCTGCCAGACGCCCGAGCCTCCGCGGCGGGAGGGCGCGACGCAGTTCGCAAGATTGCCACAAGTCCGGGTCGCAGGCGAGGCCGGCCGGGGGCAGAAATGCGGAGTAAAAATGAATGAGTGTCTCCCCCTCCTCCTCCTCCTCGGACTCCGCTCGCCGCCGCCTCCTCCCTCAGCGCCGCCGCCGCCGCGAGCTCCTTCCCAAATCCAGGACACACACAAAGCGGCGGGCCGGCCGCGCCGCTCAGCACTCCCGCCGCCCCGCGCCGGCCCCCGCCCGCCGCCGCCGGCTCTGCGCGCGGGGGCTCCGGCGAGCTGAAGGTCAAAGCCGAGGCGCGAGGCGCGCCGTGGAGCTCCCCCGGCGCGGGAGGGGCGTGGAGGGCGCGGGGGCGTCCGGGGAGCGGGGCGGAGGGTCTGCGTGCGCCGGCCGCGGGCGCGCCGGGGGCAGGCTCGCTGGCGGCGTCCCTCTCGCTGGCTCGCCTCTCTCGAGTTCGCCTGGTGCGCCCGCTCCTCCTCGGGTTTTTTCCCTTTTTATTTTTTTTTTCCGCTCAGCGGAGTTAATGCTGGTAAACAAGAGCCCCAGCCTCGCCGCGCCGCCGCCGCCGCCACTGCCACACACTGGGGGCTCGCGCGCGCGCTCCCGGGGCCGTGCACACGCGCCCGCTCGCACACTCGAGCGGCCACAGCCGCAGCCGCGGCGCGCCGAGGGCCCGGCCCAGGCCGGCGCGCGCCAAGAGCCGGAGCCCGGGATCGCAGGGACGTGCGGAGCGGAGCCCGGGCGTGGGGCGCGAGACTGCGAGGCGCCGCCCCCACCTCCCGCCCGCGCCGGGACACGCGCGCACACACTCGCAGACACGCGCGCGCTCGCCCACCCGCCCCCGCCCCCGCCCGCACTGCGCCGGCCATCCCGCACGCGCCCTCCCCTCCCGCAGGACTCCAAAAACAATGCCCCGGGCGCCGGTCCCGACTGGGCGTGGGGGCGAGCGCGGGAGGAGGCGGCCGGGAGGGGCGCGGTGGGCGGGGAGTGCGGGGCTGGAGAGGTTCATTGAAAACAACAACAGCGTGGCTGGAAAGCGCGTTTCCCCGGTTCTTGAAAAGCTTCATTGTTTCTTGCAGCTGTTGCAAAATAAATAAATAAGTGCGTGCATGCGGCATTTTTTCGCAGCGTGCTAGAAGCCCGAACGTGGCGGGGGGGCACACCTGGGAGGAAGGGGACCCCGGGCTACTACGCCGGGCACTTTCACGCAAGGCTGGGGCGCCCGCAGCGTCGCGAAGGGGAGCCGGAGTTCAGGGATCGCGGGGAGCTGAGCGGGCAGGGCGCGGCCGGCGCGGCTCGGGCCAGGGGCGCGAGGGGCGAGGGCCGGCCGCCCGTCGCGGGCCCGGCGCCCAGGAAGGGGGACCCACTGGGCGGCCCCGCGTGCCCAAGGCGCGTCCCCGCGGCGGCCGCCAGAGGGCGCGGGGGGCACGGGGGAGGCTGGCCCGCGGAGGATCGCCTCTCTCCCGCCCTCCGGGGAAGGAAGCGTGGGGGCCCGGGCTGGGGGCGACTCGGCCAGGCGGCGCCGGCCCGGCCTCCCTGACCCGCGGTCCTCTCCGCGCGCTCCCCGCGGCCTGGAGCGGCTCAGGGCTCCACCACGTGGGCGGCTGCGGGGCGGCCGGGCGAGCGCTGGGTACTGGGCTGCGGGGCCCCGAAGCTGGGGGGCGTGTCCGGGGGCCCGGAGAAGGGGCGGCGGGCCGGGGCCGGGGCCGGGGCCGGGTTGTGTCTTCTGGCTCGGGTCCCGAGTCGGGAACACGCCGCACGCGCCGGGGATCGGCGGCCCCCGCGGAAACCCACCCGCACCTGTCTCGGGTCCTCCCGGGCACGTCCCTCTTGCTTCGGGTGCTATGTAAGTGCCTAGAAGCCGGCCCCAGCCCTAAGTCCCCTCGGTGGTTTTCCCTGCGACTGCCACCGAACGAACCGACGCCGCGGAGACCAGGTCCTCAAAGAGCCAAACAGCCCGGCCATGGCCAGAGTTTGAAATGCGTGGACTTTTAAAAACAGAGGTTGGACCACGTGTCGCCCTGAAAGCGGTCCGGTTTCATGACTCAGGCTAATTGATATCAATAATAAATTTTTTAAAAGATGGTTAATAAAAGAGTGGGAATGTCTAGATCGAGTAGGAGTGTTTGTCTCATAAACAATCAGGATGTCTGGTAAGAGGGAAAGCTGATGGGAAGGAAAGGTAGGTTCCTTTTATTACTCTCTTAGTGTAGGAGATTTTTGTGTTACAGTATGTAAGCATCCATCGTTCGTAAATACTGTTTTTTAAATTAAGAGCTGAAAACAGGTCAATAGCTATCGTAAAGGAAATTTAGCCCTTTTTCCCTGAAGTTATTTCATAGATCATTTTATCCCTTGGAAATTTCCAGGTCAATTCGGTGAGTGAGTTCTGTAGAAGGAAAATAAACCTTTTTTTTTTTTTTTTTTTTTTACTTAAGAGAGCTATTCATATAGAATTGCTTTTGTTTAAGTGAAATTCAGCTTGATCTTTAAATAAAATGTTTTAGTTTTAGATGTTCCTGGGTATTAATAATGAAAGAAATATATTAGAATCTTAAATTTAGCATGTAGTATTCAAAAATTAGAAACTACATGTGAGTAATTAAAATTCAGTCTACTAATTGTTACATGTTTCTTCAGAGAGTTTCCTTCCTGAGGTTGGTCCTGATGCCTGCAGATGCCCTCTGTAGTTAAATGCAAAAGAATATCAAATATCTTCTCATTGTATTTGGTGTTCAGAATTTTAAAAAAAAAATACATACTTGTAATACGAATGTTTAGAGCTGATTTTTAAAAGGCTAATGCTGATGTAAAATCGTTAAATACTACCCAATATATTTTTAGTATTAGTAATAAAAATGCCCCTTTATTTTCCCCAAGAATATAAGGAGGTATATGGAATAAAGAAATATGCATATAGTTATTTGTAGGGGTTTTAGGGTTTGTTTGGTTTTGGTTTTGTTTTTTTACTAAAATGATTTTTCATTTGTAAATTTTAAAAATGTTTGTGTTTTCCTGAAGTGGTAGGAAATCAATAATAAGTTATTTTAGGCAGAGAAGTTAAATGTGCATCATTATATAGACTAGAATTTAGAAAAAAAATAAAAATTTAAGTTGCCTTTGGGCTCCAACTTGATCACATAGACAAAGAAGGTGATTTTTTTATTTTCTTCAATGATTATATTCTCTATACCCAAGTCAAACTTATTTTTTCAACCTTGGAAATGAAATCATGTAGGAAAACATTAATTGAAGTCTTTGCTTTATAGACACACTGAGAATGCATCATGCTTTATATTATTTTCCCCAAGTATCATATAGCTTCTTCCTTTTTTAGAGCAGAAACTGGTTGCTTGTTTCCATTTTTTTAAAAACTGTTTACTTGATAACAATTTTATCTCAAATTATCCTTGTAAATGTACCAGACTCCCCCAGGAAGTAATACATATCAAATGAAAATATGAGAAAGAACACAAATAACAATTGACAAATATTACAAGTAATATGATATGTTGTGCTATATAGTCCCAGAAAGGAATGTTATTCAGCAGGAAAAGTGAATAAACTGCAACCACACACAGCATGTATAGATCTTTGAAACACAATATTGAGTAAAAATATACAAGTTTCAAAAAACTGCACACAGCATGACACCATTTTGATAAAGCTCTTAAAAGTAAGAAAAACTAAAAAATTAGGGCAAATTTTTTAAAGCAATCCCTTGGTTTAAATATATGATAAAATATATTTGTCTTGTTTTGCCTTTGTTCGAGCAAGAGAATTAATGAAAAATATTAATTCCCTTGGAGCAGGTAGGGAGAAGCCCGTATGCACATACAATGGTCTTGAAAATGTGTTGATTTTTGGATTTAGTGGTGGGTTTATAGATTTCCATTTTATAATTATGCTTTATAAGCAACATAGATATTTGCATGTATAAAATATTAAAGAAGGTAATAAAGAAAAATATGGGCGAGATCCATGAGAGTGATCATTCCACTTTTCCAATATGGGTCTTCCAGATTTCAAGCTGTTTGTATAAACAGTTCAGAAGCATTAAAAAGCCACTAGAATGATTTAGTTAATCAAGGTCTTATCTTTAAGGATACATTTCAGGAGAATATATTCTTTTATCATACTGATGCATTTTAAGACAAAAATCATAAAACAAAAATTTTTTTAAAATTCACTTCATAGGTAATATATGTTCATTAAGAGCGAATTATGTAAACAGTTTGGCAGTTTCCTGTAAGGTTAAGTTAAACATACAGCTAACTCATGACCAGCAATTCTACTCCTAGCTATGTATCCAAAAGAAATGAAAATACGTTCATAACATATCTGTATGGAAATGTTGATAGCTGCTTTATTCAAAATAGCAAAAAACTGGAAACAACCCAAATGTACATCAAAAGGAGAATGGCTAAACAAATCGTGATATATCCATTAAATACAATACAACTTACCAATAAAAAGGAATGCACTGCTAATCCATGCAAATCGTGGGTGAGTCTCCAAAGCAGAAGCCCAAAGAGTACATACTACATTAGTCCATTTATGTGAAGTTCAA